ATTCAAGAAATCTGATTATTCAATAAATTTTAATAGTTTAATGTTAATATAGTATTAAATAACATATACATTTTGAAGTTAGTAAATCTTGAAATATTTTTTTCCAAATATAAAAAACACAACCTAAATTAAATCTGACAGTCCTTATTTTTGTTCTTATACGTAACTTGTAACAAGAATTAACTAGTATCAAGTTATAACCAAACATAATCAAGTTGCAAATAAGGGGAGCACTAATATCATGTTAACATGGTAATAAATATTTTGAAAGCAATCTTATTGAGTTCATGTTAGTTCTCACAATTCTTGTCAAATACAATTTTGATCGTCTAAACATGATGAATATCATAAGTGACAATAAATAACATTACTCATTGATTATAGATAAACCACTAACAATCTCTTCCATATATAATTTAGCATAACATTACATGTTATAAGTAAATATTGACTAGTCGAGCGTGTGCTCACTTGGCAAGACTACTCTCGAACAATTTTACATTTTCTCCCACGAAATACTGTATCCTTTAGTTTGCCGTAACCTGGGATGTGACATCCTTGTGCGTGACATAATTAAAAGAATTTTCAGACAAAACAATAGCAATGCTAATCACCAAAAAAAGAGTGTACACCACATCATAACAACACTCCCCGAGTCCTGAATATAACTGTTTTATCCCATTCTTAGGTAATGACCAGATTTCAAATGCAGAAGCTGGGATACCAACCTTCGAAAAATAAGTTACAAAATCACCATTATTTTTCAATGATTTTAAATCACCATTCCAGAACATCAATGCAGGTAAATATACAGTTTTCGGTACACAAAAATGCAAAAGGAAAACAAGTTCTTCTAATCAAAATGAACATGTGATTCAATGCAGCCAGTACTATCGATCTCATAGAATAAATTGGAGATTCCAACTCAAGAGCATATAATCTCCCTCTTCTCATCATCTCCAGTAGCACTTGGTGTTTAACTAGTCATGGCATTCCCCCAACAAGCACCAAGATATATTCTACAAAATCAAAGGCCAAAATCAATGATGAGGGAACAAAATTATACACCAATCCAAATGCAAAATAAACATCCACACAAATGTAGTCTCTGACGTAGGAATTTAAACGAGGGAGCTTCTGAAATTATATATTCTACAAAATCAAAGGCCAAAATCAATGATGAGGGAACAAAATTATACACCAATCCAAAGGCAAAATAAACATCCACACAAATGTAGTCTCTGAAGTAGGAATTTAAACGAGGGAGCTTCTGAAATGCCAACTTAATACCCTTTTAGAGCAAGAACAAGTGGGCCAACCCTTAAAAGCTTTACATTAGTGCATGATCACTTTAAAACCTCTTCGATTATCTTGACATAATTAACATGGTAAATGAAGAAATAAAAGAATATGGCACCAATTACAACAA